CCCCGACCCGCCGCTCCCGCCCTTCCCGACCCCTTTCTGGACCCCGGCGTTTCTGAGCCATTTTTGTGACATTTCTCCTTGGTCTCAGGGCTCTCTCTGTAAGTGACCGGGGTGCCTCGTGGAGACCCTGAAAGATTTAAGTCACTTTGATCTTGTTTAAATTCGGTTTCACGAGGAGGAAGACATAGGCAGGCTCTTAAAAAAAAGTTTTTGCTTTCGCCGGAGAGTCAGGGAAGGTGCTTTCTTGGGATAATTTCATTTCCGAGTTGCCTGGGACCGCTCAGGGACTCAAAAAAGTCAGTTTAAAAGTGGGGATTGTGCCTTGACGGTGCGGCTCAGTGGTTGGGCGTTGACCTCTGAACCAGGAGGTCACGGTTGGATTCCCGGTCAGGGCACATGCCTGGGTTGCAGGCTGGATCCCCAGTAGGGGGCGTGCAGGAGGCAGCCATTGATGATTCTGTCTCATCATTGATGTTTTTCCCTTTCCCTTCCTCTTTGGAATCGATGCAAATATATATATTTTTTTAAAAAGTGGGGAAGGAGCCCTAGCTGGTTTGGCTCAGTGGATAGAACGTCGGCCTGGGGACTGAAAGGTCCCAGGTTCGATTCCGGTCAAGGGCATGTACCTGGGTTGCGGGCACATCCCCAGTGGGGGGTGTGTAGGAGGCGGCTGATCGATGTTTCTGACTCTCTATCCCTCTCCCTTTCTCTCTGTGAAAAAAATCAATAAAATATATTTTAGAAAAAAAGTGGGGAAGGAGAAACTGTACATGCTGCCGCATGAGGAGGGCTCAATAAATAATAATGTGAACTTGGAATTTTTCCAAAAGCATTTCTGTGGGAAAACGCAAGCATCATCACTTGCCTCCTGTCCCCGAACGTTTTGGAACGTTTTGTTTCTCGGTGACGAGGTTTCAGAATGTTCCATATGCAGTTGGTGGACTCCTGAGACCTTGGAGGGGGAAAGAGAACATGTACGTTCAAGCCTTAACTCCACCTTTTTTACCTTTGTGTCTATTGACAAGTTAACGAACTTTTTTCAGACTTTATTTCCTATTCTTCCAAGTAGAAATGAAAGAAGAAGAAAAAACACACCACTACAGTTTCATAGAATATTTTTCAGCTAAATTACATTTTATTAAATAATTACATTGATGCCGATGATGGTTAAATAAAAAAAAAAAATTACATTGAGGTAAAAATTTGCATTTTGTGTGTGTGTGTGTGTGTGTGTGTGTGTGTGAATTTTCCCCTCTGTTTTCTACTTTTATTTTATTTTCTATTGATTTCAGAGAGGAAGGGAGAGAGATAGAAACATCAGTGATGAGAGAGAATCGTTGATTAGCTGCCTCCTGCAAGCCCCCTACTGAGGCAGGGTGGGTGTTGAGCCCGAAATCCTGGCATGTGCCCTTGACCGGAATTGAACCTGGGACCCTTTAGTCCACAGGCCGACGCTCTATCCACTGAGCCAAACCGGCTAGGGCTCCCCTCTGTTTTTTTAAAGTTGAGATATGTCACATACCACACAATTCACCTATTTAAAATGTTCAGTTCAGCCTGGCCACGGTGGCTCAGTGGTTGAGCATCGACCTGTGAACCAGGAGGTCACGGTTCAATTCCCTGTCAGGACACATGCCCGAGTTCTGGGCTCGATCTCCAGTGGGGGGCGTTCAGGAGGCAGCCGATCCATGATGCTCTCTCATCATTGATGTTTCTCCCTCTCTCTTCTCTGAAATCAATAAAAACATATTTTTTTAAATAAGTAAAATGTACAATTCATTGGTTTTTGGTAGGGTCACAAAGTTATGCAACCATCACCGCAATTTTAGAACACTGTCATTACCCCAGAAAGAAACTCCTACCCATTAGCAATTATTCTGTATTTCACCCTCTAGTCCCCCAGCCATAGACAACCACTAATCTATTTTCTGTCTCTCTACATTTGCCTATTGTGGGCATTTCATGTAAATGGAATCATATAATATGTGGGTTTTTTTTTTTTTATGACCGGCTTTTTTTTACTTGGTACAGTATGTTCTCAGGGTTATCCATGCTATAGTGTGTATCAGTTCTTCATCCCTTTTTGTTGCCAAGAGAGAAGGAAATCTAACCAATGGCTTTGCTAGATTTCTTCTTTTTTGTCACATTTAGTTATATTATGACACTAAGGCATTCCTTCCTTTAAAGCAGTTTTTCTATTTTTAAAAAAATGTATTTTATTGATTTTTTTTTACAGAGAGGCAGGGAGAGGGGTAGAGAGTTAGAAACATCGACGAGAGAGAAACATCGATCCACTGCCTCCTGCACACCCGCCACTGGAAATGTGCCTGCAACCGAGGTACATGCCGTTGACCGGAATCGAACCTGGGACCCTTCAGTTCTGCATGCTGACGCTAAACCGGTTAGGGCCCAAGTTATACTTTATTGTATGGATGGATATGTCACGTTTTGATTGTCCATTCATTGGTTGATGTTTCCACCTATGGCTCTTGTGAATAATGGTGCTATGAACACTCATGTCCAGAAGTTTGTTTTTTCTTTATTGTTTAAAGTATTACATGAGTCTCCTTTTTGCCCCCATTGACCTCTCCCCTGCTATCCCCTCTCCCAAGCACAAGCCCTCACCCCCTACTGTCTGTGGCCATTGGTTTTGCTCATATGCATGCATACAAGTCCTTTGATTGATCTCTTACCCCCTCCACCCCCCGCCTTCCCTCATAGGTTGGACAGTCTGATGCTTCTCTGTCTCTGGTTCTAATTTTGTTCAACAGTTTATGTTGTTCATTATAGTCCACAAATGAGTGAGATCATGTGATATTTATCTTTCTCTGACTGGCTTATTTTGCTTAGCATAATGCTCTCTAGTTCCATCCATGCTGCTGCAAATGGTAAGAATTCCTTCTTTTTTTACAGCAGCGTAGTATTCCATTGTGTAGATGAACAACAGTTTTCTAATCCACTCATCTGCTGATGGGCACTTAGGCTGTTTCCAAATCTTAGCTTTTGTAAGTTGTGCTACTATGAACATAGGGGTGCATATATCTACAAGTTTTTTTAAAATATATTTTTGTTGTTTTCAGAGAGAAAGGGAGAGGGATAGAGAGATAGAAACATCAATGATGAGAGAGAACCATTGATTGGCTGCCTCCTGCACAACTCCTACAGAGGATCGAGCCTGCAACCAGGGCATGTGCCCTTGACCAGAATCAAACCTGAGACCATCCAGTCCGCACGCCAATGCTCTATCCACTGAGCCAAACCAGCGAGGGCCATGTCCTACAAGTTTTTATGTGGACATGTGTTTTTCATTTCTCTTGATTTTATACCTAGGAGTAGAATTTCTGGGTCATATGGTAACTTTATGGTGAACATTTTGAGGAACTGCCAGATTTTTTCAAAGTGGCCGAACCCTTTGGCATTCCCATCAGCAGTATGCGTTCCGATTTCTCTATCTCCCTAGTGACTTTAGTTTATCTTTTCCATTAAAGCTGTTTTAGTGAGTGTGAAGTAGATTTTCATTGTGGTTTTCATTTCCATTTCCCTAATGTCTAATGATGTTGAGCATCTTTTCCTGTCCTTGTTAACCATTTGTAGATCTTTGAAGAACATAGTATTTTTATAAGAACCATATTAGCTCAGGAATGAAAATTAACCTTGTAAAAAGAAGAGCACTGAAGGATAGGAGGGATTATTAAAGCAGTTC